CATTCCGACTACTTTAACACCCTTTTCAACTCGGATTTAAAGGAAAAATCGATGCCAGAAATCGAAATTAAGGATGTCAAATTTGAGGATTTTGCTACATTGCTCAGTCTTGTTCATGAGAAGCCTATAATGCCAACACTCGAAAACGCCGAACGCATTCTAGAACTTTCCGATCGATTTTTGATGCCTTCTGTTAAGAATGTGGTGCCCAATGTTTNNCGATTTCCACGTTCCGCCATNACTCTTAAAACGGTCATAACTTTGCTCAAAATCGAGATTTCCGCCTGAAACTAATTTCAATGAACTTCTGAGATTGTCAGTGTCATTTTGAGCCTAATTACGACAAAGTGGCCTAGAAATCCAAAATTTGAAATTTCTAGGCCACCTAGTCGTAATTAAGCCCAAAACGACACGGATGGTCTGAGAATTCTATTAAAACTGTTTTAACCTCTGAGTTTCATATATCAGCCAAGTTATGACTATTTTAGGCTGGTTGCCTGGAAATCGAAAAACTTGGGATCCTAGGCCACCAGGGTTTTTTAGTCTAAAACTTACCGGAAATGACTTCAAACGATTTATACATGGCTTCAGGTACTCTAGCAACTTGAAAAAATCTTGGTGGCCTAGAAATCCAATAATTTGGTATTCTAGGCCAGCAATGTCAAAATGGTCACATCTTTTCTGAAGATCAAGGTTTTGAGCTTAAACTAGATTCAATAAGTTTACAAGATCGTCATTGTCATTTTGAGCCTACTTACGACTTGGTGGCCGAGAATTCCAAAAAGTGAAATTTTTAGGCCACCCAGTCGTAATTAGGCTTAAAATGACATCGATGATCTCAGAATTCTATCAAAACCATTTTCAGCTCAAAATCTCAATTTTGAGCCGAGTTATTACCAATTTTAGGTTGGTGGCCTAGAAATCCGAAATTTTGGGATTCTAGGCCACCAAGGTTTTTTGCTGAAAAATTATTGCAAATGACACCAAATTGTCTGTATTTAGCATTAGATCCTTTGAAAATTCGAAAAAAACTTGGTGGCCTAGAACATTTTAATTTTGGATTTCTAGGCCATCGACCTTAAAATGGCCATAACTTGGCTGAAAATTGAGATTTTGAGCTGAAACTAGATCCAATAGATTTCTGAGGTCATTTTTGTCATTTTTAACCTATTTACGTCCTGGTGGCATAGAAACCCAACATTTGCATTTCTAGGCCATCGACCTAAAAATGGCCATAACTTGGCTAAAAGTTGAGATTTTGAGTTGAAAATATTTTCAATGAGTTTCTGAGGTCATCAGTGTCACTTTGAGCCTAATTACGACATAGTGGCCTGGAAATCCAAATTTTAGGATTTCTAGGCCACCAAGAGAAATTCTTCCAGAATTCTCGAAAAAATGTGGAAATCGACGATCAGAAACTGATAAAAATCATCATGATTCTCACGAAATTCGAGGGATCTCGACTGGAAGCGATTTTTCGAAAAATGTGAGTTTTTTGAAAATGATGGCCTAGGATTTTTTCTAGGCCACCTGCAAAAAATTTATCAGATCTTTTTTTGCGTTTTTCATCATTTTTGAGCAGTTTTAAATGTTTTGAAATAAAATTTTTGGGTGGCCTAGAAAAAAAAAGTTAGGCCGCCTTCAAGTTTTCTCTTCCAGATCGGAAGACGAGCCGGTTGCGACAAAACTGGAATTTGGGGAGTGGCTGAGAAAAAATCAACATGATCATCGTCTCAATGACGCCAGATTCAATCAGGTTTCCGATCGAAAAATTCATAAAATTTTGGAGACGTGGCAGTATTCTGGAGGTGAGGGGGCGTGGCCTAGCAACCCAAATTTCGGAATTAAAGGCCAACAAATCGTAATTAGGCGAAAAATGACAAAAATGGCCTGAGAAATCTAACAAAACTATTTTCAGCTAAAAATCCAAATTTTAAGACAAGTTATGACCATTTTTAGGTCGATGGCCTAGAAATCCAAATCTTTGGTTTTCTAGGCCACCAGGGTTCTCTCCGAGTTTCTAGACTGTTTGAAACCAGTAGATGTAGACAATTAATACTCATTTCCGATAATAAGGCAAAATAACCTTGGTGGCCTAGAAGTACAAGTTTTTGGATTTCTAGGCCACTATGTCGTAATTAGGCTCAAAGTGACACTGATGACCTCAGAAACTTATTGAAAGTATTTTCAGCTCAAAATCTCAACTTTTAGCCAAGTTATGGCCATTTTTAGGTCGATGGCCTAGAAATCCAAATCTTTGGATTTCTAGGCCACCAGGACGTAAATAGGTTTAAAATGACAGGGATGATCTCAGCAACCTATTGGATTCAGTTTCAGCTCAAAATCTCAATTTTCAGCCAAGTTATGACCATTTTTAGGTTGATGGCCTAGAAACACAAAAATCTGATTTTCTAGGCCAACGAAAAAATTGACCAAATTGATGATCAAATTCGAAGAGTTTTAAAGCTCAAAAACTCGAAAAAAATTGGTGGCCTAGAAATTGCATTTTAGGTTTCTAGGCCATGGCCTAGTTTCATGAAAGCTACCGTAACCCGTCAAATTTTAGCGCGAATTTCAAAATTCTAGAAAATTCAACTTTAATTTGCTTAGAGGCTCAAAATGAGTATAAACACGACCTATTTCACAACATTTGTGTTTTTTTGGAAAATTTGGGTCCCACCACGAAAATTACCGTAACTCTGTTTATTTTTGACGAAATTCGAAAATTTTTGCAGATTTGAATCTAACTCGTTTAGAGGTTCAAAATAAGTATAAACAAGGCCTACTTTCAAAATTTTGGGTCCCACCGCGAAAACTACAGTAACCCATTTTAATTGCAGATTCCGCAATAACTCCACAAATATTTACGCACTGGATGGCTTCTGATGAGTGTGGCGTCGCGATTTCAGCTCAACGAATGAAATTAGATGTGGCCAGTATGAGAGAACCAATCAATCGATATTTTATCGATTCGTCTCATAACACTTATTGTTCTGGTGGGTACAGTAGTCATCTAAAGATTTTGAAAATAGAACATTTGAATTTCTGCATAATTCAGCTTCAAAATGAGTATAAACATGGATATGTTAGAAAAATTTCAAGTGTTTGGGTCTCGCCGCGAAAATACAAAAACTACCGTATCTCAGTCAGTTTCTGGTCAAATCCTAAAATTTTTTAAATCTTGAACTTGGCAAGTTTTGTGGTTCAAAATGAGTATACACACGACTAGTTTTGAAGAATTTTCATTTTTGGAGTCCCACCACGAAAACACAAAAGCTACCGTATCTCAGCCAATTTTCAACCAAATTGGAAATTTCTTGCAGTTTTTGTTTTGGTAAGTTTCGAGCTTCTAATTGAGTATAAACATGAATAGACTTCAGAAATTTTGATTTTTGTTAATTTTTGGCGTCAATCACATAAAGTACAGTATCTCAGTTAGTTTTCAACCAAATTTGAAATTTCTTGCAGTTTTTGGAATCATAAAAACAAGGAAAATCTATTTCAGGCAACCAACTGGTCTACGCAATCGGCCATTGCTCAGCAGATGTTGAAATGTATCGACAGGCACTGTTATGCGGGTGTAGATGTGTTGAATTGGATGTTTGGGATAATAGAGATAAGGATGGGGATCCAGTGATCACTCATGGACCAACAGCAGTTATGGGAATGAATGAAATATGTTTGAGAGAAGTTTGTGAGGCTATTAAGGAGTGCGCCTTTAAGGTGAGGAATTGGACCAAAAATTCAAAAATTCGAAAATTCAAAAATTCGAAAATTCAAAAATTCAAAAATTCAAATATTCAAAAATTCAAAAATTCAAATATTCAAAAATTCAAAAATTCAAAAATTCAGAAATTCAAAAGTTCGAAAATTCAAAAATTCAGAAATTCAAAACTTCCAAAATTCAAAACTTCCAAAATTCAAAAATTCAAAAATTCAAAAATTCAAAAATTCAAAAATTCAAAAATTCAAAAATTCAAAAATTCAAAAATTCAAAAGTTCGAAAATTCAAAAATTCAAAAATTCAAAAATTCAAAAGTTCGAAAATTCAAAAGTTCGAAAATTCAAAAGTTCGAAAATTCAAAAATTCAAAAATTCAAAAATTCAAAAATTCGAAAATTCAAAAATTCAAAAATTCATAAATTCAAAAATTCAAAAATTCAAAAATTCAAAAATTCGAAAATTCAAAAATTCAAAAATTCAAAAATTCAAAAATTCAAAAATTCAAAAATTCGAAAATTCAAAAATTCAAAAATTCAAAAATTCAAAAATTCAAAAATTATAATTTCCAGACAACTCCATATCCTCTAATCCTATCCATCGAAAATCATTTGGGCCGTCGTCAACAGGAGAAAATGGTCCAAATATTCCATCACGTATTCGGCGACCTCCTTCTGACTGGACCTCTTCCAGACTACCCCTTATACGCTCGAGAGGCATCTGGAGACGTCAAGTATCCGTCTCCAGAAGATTTGAAATTCAAAATTTTGATTAAAGCCAAAAAGAAGAGATTCGAGAAACAAGAGTCCAGAAGTCGAGAGGATTCTAGTATTGATTTGCAGGCACGGTAGTTTGTTTTTTTTTTAAATTCAGTTAAAAATGAAAAAGTTCGAAATTTGGTCAAAAATAAGCCAAGTTATGGTACTGTATGATAAAATTCCAAAAAATCAAAATTCCTAAAGTCTAGTCGTGTTTATATACTCATTTTGAAGCTTAACACTTGCCAAGTTTAAAACTGCAAACATCGCTCGATTTGGTCAAAAACTGACTGAGATACGGTACTTCTCGTGTTTTCATGATGGGTCTCAAAAATGAAAAATTTTGCAAACCTAGTCGTGTTTGTACTCATTTCGAAGTTTAGAGCTTACCAAAGTTCGAATTGCATGAATTTTTTAAATTTTTCAACAATCCACCGAGTTACGGTAGTTTTAATGATACGCAAGAAGAGAGCGCAGACAGCTAGAATGTCTTGTTTCTCTGCGTCTCTCACTCTTTCGATTTTCTTAAACTAGTCGTGTTTGTACTCATTTTGAAGCTCAAAACTTGCCAAATTCAACACATCAAAAATCTCTTGATTTGGTCAAAAACTGAATGATATACAGTAGTTTTCGTATTTTCGTGGTGGGACCCAAAATACCGAAATTTCGAAAAATTTTGAAATCTAGTCGTGTTTATACTCATTTTAAAGTTTACAATTTGCCAAGTTCAAAACTGCAAAAATTTTGCAGTTTAGACAGTAACTGACTGAGATACGGTAGTTTTACTGATTGTGCATGAGAAACGAAGACAGTGAGATAGTCTCGTTTCTCTGCGTCTCTTTTTGAAGGCACTCTATTTGTGTTTATATTCGCTTTGAATCTCGAAACATGCCAAATATAAAACTGCAAATATTTCTCAAATTGGTCTAAAACTGACCGAGTTATGGAACTTTTAAATTTAAAGTCCAAAAATATTTTTTTTTCAGAAAATTATTTTTCCAAAAAATATCAAACCTAGTCGTATTTATATTTATTTTGAAGCTCTCAACCTAACAAACCCAAAACTTCCAGTTTCAGGGCTCTTCAATAGACCTAACAGAAGATGAGGCCATCGAAAATGAGCGATTCAATGAGCTCACCGAAGAGCAAAAAGCTGCCCAAATGCTCCAACTTCCAGAAGAATCTTCGTGTTCAGAGCTTTCGGAGATTATTAATTACATGCAAGCATTCGAATCGTCTAGAGGCGTCTCAACTGCGGTGAACCTTGAAAATGCCACTCAGGATACTGTACCTTGTATAGTGTCGGCCGATGAGAATACTGTATGGAATTGTTTGAAGGGAAACTCGGTGGAGAAGGTTCAGGTGAGAATTGGAATATGGAAAATTGAGAATGTTTTGAAATTTCTAGTTTAATGGTTCTTGTCTCGTAAAGTTTAGACCAAAACTAACCGAGATACATCAGTTTTTGTATTTTCGTGGTGAGACCCAAAAATGAAATTTTCGACAGTTTTGAAACCCAATCGTGTTTATACTCATTTCAAAACTCATAAAATTTCAAACTCAGTGCTAAAAATTTTTATAGAATTTGGACCAAAACTAACCAAGATACGGTAAGTTTTGAATTTTCGTGGTGGGACCCAAATATCAAAATTTCGAAAATCTTGAAACCTAGTCGTGTTTATACTCATTTTGAAGCTCGAAACGTGTCAAATACACAACATCAAAATTTTTAAAATTGGTGAAAAACCGATCAAGTTATGGTAGTTTTCGTATTTTCGTGGTGGGACCCAAAATTTGAAAAAAAAATCGAAATTTTTGAAACCTAGTCGTGTTTATACTTATTTTGAAGATCAAAAGCTGTGAAAATTAAAACTGCAAAAGTTATTCGATTTGGTCAAAAACTAACCGAGTTACGGTAGTTTTTGTATTTTCGTGATGGGACCCGAAAATGAAAATTTTTGAAACCTAGTCATGTTTATACTCATTTTGAAGCTCCTGAACTGTGAAACACAACGCTGTAAAATTTATAAAATTTGAACGAAAACTGACCGAGTTATGAGCAATTCGAACTTTTCAGGATTTTTCGAAAAATTTCGAAATTCTATAACATTACTCATTTTGGACCAATTTTTTTGGTTTATAGCTCAAAATGTTTAAAATTATTGACTTTATTACTGAAATCAAACAAACCCATTTTTCAGAATCTAAACAAGTCAAAAATCATGAGAATCTACCCCAAAGCGTCAAGAATCTACTCAACCAACTATAATCCGATGATTCACTGGCTCACCGGTGCTCAAATGGTCGCATTGAATATTCAAACGAATTGTCCAAATATTCAGTTGAGCTATGCAATGTTTGAGCGGAACGGAGGTTGTGGGTACGGTAGAAAAATTTTGAAACTTTGAAAAAAAAATGTTCCAAAATTTTTTTTTCAGATTCGTCCGAAAACCAGACTGGCTCCGGATGCGAGATGTGCAATTGAAACCACATTTGTCCATACCATTCACCATTGCGTATACGGTAGAAGTGGAGGTGAGCAATTTCGGGGTGGGATCCAAAAATTTTGGAATTTCACAATTTTTTAAAGTATGCCATGTTTATACTCATTCGAACCGTCTAGACATGAAAAATTCAAAACTGCAAAAATATTCAAGTTCGGATGAAAACCAACCAAGTTACGGTAGTTTTACTGGTTTTCGTGGTGGGACCCAAAATTTGAAAGTGTACCGTGTTTATACTCATTCGAACCGGCTTAACGAGCAAAACTCGAAAATGCAAAAATTTTTGAATTTTATCGAACTGTTAGTGAGTTACGGTAGTTTTTACCTGTGAGAGACGCAGACGACGAGTAGTCGCAACCTGCGCTCCTCTTCCAGAAGGCGGTCCGTAACTTTGTTCATTTCGGTGGTAGATCGAAAGTATGCATATTTTTGAAAATCGCATAAAAAGACGGTTTGAATGAATATGAACATGATCTAGTTTCAATAATTTGAATTATTCGAATTTTCCAAAATTTCGATTTTTTGGTCGTAACTCAATCAGTTTTGAACCAAATTTCGAAATTTTTTGATTACCGTACTCCTCAAATAACTTATTTTCAGATAATTGCCGCCTACTTCCTCTCAGCCATGGATTCCGAGAAATATCGCCGCCGGAGTACTGTATCCGTCCGCCTTTTCGATGTACCTGATCAAATTTCGAAAGAAGACATTTCCTCTCCATCGATTTCCACGTCAACGAAGTTCGAAGCGTCTTGTAGACGTCGAACAAGAGAGGAGACTTCATTTGTGACTAATTATGAACGTCATGTGTACAGTTTTGACAAAGTTATGCTCAACGATTTGTCGTTTATTCAATTCAACGTTCACAACGAATCGGGTAGCGTCTTTGCGCAGCGAATTTTGCACATTGATACTATGAATAATGGTGAGAAATTTATATTTTCAGAAAGAACAGGAAATTTCAAACATTTTAAGCCAAAACTTGAAAAAATTGAGTGAAAACTAACCAAGTTATGAGAACTTGAAAATTGGCAAATTTTTCGAATTTTTTTGCAATTTAGAAAATCTATCATGATTTTTTTGTTTTTCGAAAAAGATTTCAATTTTTTTAATTTTTGAAATTTGCTCGTTGAGCCGGTTAGAATGAGTATAAACATGACCCACTTTGGGTCCCACCACGAAAATCAGTAAAACTACCGTAACTCTGTCGGTTTTCGCCCAAATTGAAAAATTTTTTAAATTCCGTTTGTTTCATGTCAAGCCGGTTCAGGTGAGTATAAACAAGCCCAACTTTAAAAACTTTTGATTTTTTGAAAACTTGGGTCCCACCACGAAAGATTGAATTTAAAAAAAAATTATTTCCAGGATACCGTTTTGTGACCCTCCGAACCCCTTCAAATCAGTGTGCTGGACCCGCATGTCTGCTCGTCAGATTCGATCTTTTTATGCATTCGGATAGGAAGAATTTGCGTGAGTTTAGAATTTCTGCTTGGCACATTTTTGGTGCCTTGGCACATAACTTGTGCAGCTCGAAATGCGTCAGTCAAGGCACCGAAAAGATGTCTAGGCACTAGAATTGCACCAAAGCACTGTAAACTTGCCAAGGCACCAGAAATGCGCCAACTCACAAGAAACGCGCCAATGCATCAAAAGTGCACCAAACCACAACTAGTCTTCAAGAAACCGTTCTCAGTGTTTCTAGTACCTTTCTGGCGGCATTTAGAGGCTTTCTGCATTTTCAGTGTCTTGGCGCATTTCAAGTGCCTTTGCGCATAATTTGTGCATCGACACGTATAGTAAAGTAAGCTAAGGCACTGAAAATGCGTAGAGGCGCTAAAAATAACCGATTCTCAAAAAGCACGTCAAATCACGGAAAGTGTCCAAGGCGCCACAAATGCGCCAAGGAACTGGAAATGCGCCAAGGCATCAAAAGTGCACCGAAACACGAGTAGTCTACAAAACAGTGTACGGGGTGTGTCTAGCGCCTTCCTGGCAGAGCTTTTTGAGCTTTGCGCAATTTCGGTGCCTTGACGCAAAACTTGTTCCTGAGCGTATTTTGAGTGCCTAGGAGTGTTTGAGATACCTCAAGGTATTTTCCGCGCCTTGGCGCATTTCTAGTGACTTGACGCATTTTCAGTGCCTTGACGCATTTTCGGTGCCTTGACGCAAAACTTGTTCTTGTGCGTAATTTTAGTGTCTAGGAGTGTTTTAAAGTATCCAGAGCTTCATTGACGTATTCTCGGTGTCTTGACGCTTTTCTGGTGTCTTGACGCAATTCTCGCTCTTTTTCAGACGACCATAAACAAATGTACAATCCACACGCATTCGAAAAAGAATCTGACAAATGGGAGAGACGTTTCAGCAATCCGTTTGCCGATTTGGACGGGTTCGATGTAAATTTTTCGAAAAAATTTAAAACATGTATAATTATTTTTTTTCCAGGGAAACGAATTTCTACTAGTAGAGGGTACTCGACGCGGATCGGTCGAAATCCCGCCCACCACTCCGACCACGCCCACCAAACCCATGAGCTTTGGAAAAGAGCTGTTGGAGAAAATTGCGTTTTGGAAGAAGAAATAATTTTGAACTTTTTTGAACTATTTTTATGATAAAAATGAAGAATTTCCTAGGTATCGAGAAAAGCGCCAAGGATCCGGAAATGCGCCAACAGATTTTTCACTTCCCAAATGTGCCAGTTTGGGATGGTGTTGTTACCTTCCTCTGGGTGCCTGAATATTGAAAAATTAAGCCACGCCCCTTTTTGAAGCCCCGTCCACTTACAAAATATAATATTTCGAAAATCTTTGATACAAATCATGGCAATTAGAGGTTCCAAACATGGATATATTGCCAAACTCGCTCCAACGAAGTTGGCTGCTCGGCCGGCGGGAATTTCGAAAAATGGAAGAGTCAAAATTAGGCCAACTGGGGAATACATCGTTATGAAGGGGAGAAGGGTCTGGAATAGGGCACTGAAAATGCGTCAAGGCACGAAAAAGGCGTCAAGCCACAAAAAAATGGGTCAAGTCACCAGAAACGCGCCATAGCATGAATTATGCGTTATGTATCCGGAAATGCGTCAAGTCACTAGAAACGCGCCAAGGTACCAGAAATGCCTCAAATCATTAGAAAAGCGTCAAGGCATCAGAAATGCGTCAACGAACCTTGGTCAGCTGAAATGCGTCAATTCACAAAATATGCGCCAGGCAGGATTCACATACCGGAAGAATGCAATTCCGACACTCTTTTTGAGGTGTCTTGACGCGTAGTTTTAGTGCATTAGCGCATTTTGAGTGTCTTGGCGCATTTCTAGAACATTGACGCGTTTCTGGTGACTTTGCGTATATTCTTTCTAGGTGTATGGTTTCTGGACGGCATTCTCAGTTCCTTGACCCAACTTCCACGAATTAACGCGTATTTGGCGCCTTGGCGCATTTCTAGTGCTTTGAAGCATTTTGCACTTCTTAACGCATATTAAGTGCCTTGGCGCACTTCTAGTGTCTTGGCGCATTTCTAGTGCCTTAACGCGTTTTCAGTGCCTTGGCGCGTTTTCAGTGCTTCGGCGCACTTTTCGTTCTAAACACTTACCTGAAAAATGAGTGTAACAAAAAGTTGTCGATTCATTTCAATGGTTTTCGCACTGAAATGTGTACTTTTACTCTTCAATTGCAAATAGATTTTTGTGGCACAAAATGCGATTGTGGAAAAGCAAATTACCTGAAAATTTGAATTTAAATTATTTCAAATTTCCCGCCAATACTCACAATGATCAAAAAGCACCCAAAAGCTGATAATAGGTCTGGAACATTCCAGATTTTCTCTCCATTCACCCCAATTCCATAATACATTGGTCCGAAAAATTGAACTTTTTCAGAATTTTCGTTATAAAAAATTTCCAGCGGAATTTTTACAAAATTGATTTTTTGAGAAGTCATCGCCATTCCAAATTTCACAATTGTAAAATAAATTATCACTAAAATGATGGATGGGATAAAAAGTCGAGCCAATTTCCAGCCATTCAAATGGCTCATTATTTCGGGTCTGGAATTTTGGAAGTTTTCGGAAAAAAATTTTGGCGCCAAATTTTTTTTTTTTTTGAATTTTTTCTTACCGACAAAATACGACATAACGATAGTAAAACTGAGTAGCCAGAAGAGAAATCACAAGTGCAAATAAGCCGCAGTACAGACCTAAAAATAAAGGATTTTGAAAAAAAAAATATTTTCTGAAATTTTCAAAAATTCAAAACTTTTCAAAGCCTGTCATTTTTATACTCATCTGAACCGTCTAATTATGAGAAATTCGAAAATGTAAAAATTACAAAGCTAGCACAAAAATGAAGCGAGTTACGGTAGTTTTTCAGAAGCGAGAGCGCAGACAACGAGAGTGTCTGCGTCTCTCGCCGGTACATGAGTTGTGACAAAGTAGGTCATGATTATACTCATTTTGAAGCTGAAAACGAGTAGATTACAAAAATGTGAAACTAATGAAGCTTGGGTGAAAAATAAGCGAGTATGATTTTTCGAAAAAAAGTTTTTTTTCGAGAATTTTAGATTTTGAAAATTTTTCAAAAACCAAGTCATTTTTATATTCATTCGAACCCTTACCCCACAAAAATTCAAAAATATTAGAATTAACAAGCTGACATAAATGCGAAAAGAGTTACGGTAGTTTTTCTTAGCGTTAACTCGTTGTCTACGCTCCCATTGTCGCTTTCAGAAAAACTACCGTAACTCACTTCGTTTTTATGCTAGCGTTGTGATTTTTATATTTTTGAATTTTCCAATGAATTGCAGTTCGAACAAATATAAATTTGTCTGTAAGTTCGAGATTTTTAAGATTTTAAAAATGTTCAAAAAATTAAAAACATGCAATTCTTGGAATTTTTTTACAAAACCTACCGTAACTTGTTTTGTTTTTCTGCTAGCTTTAGGATTTTACCATACTTCGTTTCCTCGTGACTAGACGGTTTAAATGAGTATAATCATGACCTACTTTTTCAAATTCTTGAGAGACGCAGACACTCTCGTCGTCTGCGCGCGCGCCTACTACAGAAAAACTACTGTAACTCGCTTCGTTTTTGTGCTAGATTTGTGAATTTAGCATTTTCCGATTTCTCGTAACTAGACGGTTCAGATGAGTATAAATTCGATATTTAAAAAATCAATACACCTAAAAATCTGGGATTTACTCACAAACAATATTATTGCCAATCCAAGATATATATTTGAATGGTCCATCCATATAAACAACGAACGCGGGACCATAAATCAACATAATGGGACACGTGGCAGCATCAATCCATGCATAAATCAACGAATACGTTGAGAATACGCCCATTACATAACGATAGGATCCGAAAAGTGTTCCCGCCTTTTTTATGATCAAATATAGTAAAACTGCATTGGAAATTTGTGCGGCAATCGATCCAAAATAGTGGATGATGTGTAAAACTGTGATTACTGTAATTGCGATTTTTGAAATTTTCGAAAATTTTGAGTTAAGGCACTAGTTTTGCGCAAAAGCACGAAAAAGGCGCCAAAGCACGAAAAGTACGTCAAGGCACCGAAAGTGCGCCAAAGCACAACATTTCAGTTGCGTGAACGTCTGAGTGAAGCTTCTGTCTCTTGACACACTTTTGGTGTATTGACGCGTTTCCAATGCTTTGACACATTTCTAGTGGCTTGACGCATATTTGGTGTTTTGGCGTATTTTCGGTACCTTGGCGCATTTTTTGTCGAATTGCATCGAGACACAGAAAAGGCGGCAAGGCAGTATAAACAACACTTTGAAATAATTTGACGCACTTTCGGCGTCTTGACGCATTTCCGCATACCTTGCACCGAAAATGCGCCAAGCCCATTAAACGAATCAAGGTGCAGACTACGCGTCAAGGCACAGAAAACGCATTAAGACACTGAAAACAAGAATTATGAACCTGTTGACGCATATTCAGTGCTTTGGCGCATTCTTGGTGCTTTGACGCATTTTCGGATTCCTTGCACCAAGAATGCGTCAAGGCACTGGATGAATTGTGGTGAATTCTTTTGGTGAATTCTCGGTGCCTTGACGCACTTCTGGTGCATTGACGCATTTTTGGTTGTTTGACGCGTGTTTGGTGACTTTACGCATTTTCGGATACCTTGCACCGAAAAGGCGTCAATAACAGAAAACACGCCAGGACAACAGGATCTAGACGTATGAATTTATTAACGCACTTTTGGTGTCTTGAATCGCTTTACATGAGTTGGCGCATTTTCGGATACCTTGCATCGAAAGCGCACCAAGGCACAGAAAACGCGCAAGGAACGAGAAAATGGGGATTCGTTAAACAAAAAAAAAGGAAAATTGTTTTCGAAATTCTTGAAAAAAATTGTTTCTCACTATCAGTTTTTATAATTTTTTCAAAATTTCGAAAAACCAACTTACTCCACATGACTGAAAATTCTTAAAATTTCAGAATTACTCATGTATTGTCAAATTTTGACCGTTTTATACTCTCAAAATATTTTTGTTTTCCATTATTTTTTATGAATTTTTATTTGTATTTTTTTCCGTCATTTTGTATTTTCTATGACTAGTCTACCGGATATTATTTTCCATGTGATTTCTGTCTACTTCTTTCTATCTGTCTGGTATAGAGTGCCGAGTCGACTCGAAAATCGATGATTTTTGTCGACTTTGAAAATCGACACAGTCGACATTCAAAAATTCGAAAAAGCTATTTGTCGATGAAAATCGAACTTTTCGTTGTCGACTTTTGTCGATTTTGCGTCGACTTAAAATCGACAGAAGTCGACGAAAAATCGACTTTTCCGGACTTCAAAGTAAAATTTCACCTCGAGAAATGTTTTTTTCTAATTTTTTGAAGAAATCATTTTAACAACTTTATTTTTATGGATAAAAACAAATAGTGTAAAACTTAGTTTCAACGGGGGTACAAAATATGATGGCAAGGAAAATAGAAGAAAATTCAAAGCGACAAAATTTAAAAAAGGGAAGAAGAAGAACAAAGTTCAGCATTAGGAATTAATGTTTCATTATTTGGGCCAAATCGTTCCCAAAAGTATCATCGTTATGCTCTCTGGATTCGTAATATTCGATGCCAAATTTGTTTTTTTAAATCGATGCCAAATTTGTGAAGTAAATCAACAAAAAGTCTGCCGACATTAGGCTGCCGTTGCAGACGCGCTGATAGGCTCGATTCCCAGAAGCTGGAAATAATCTTGTTTGTTTCTATGATGTTTGTAGCATAGCTCACCTTCGACTTTCGCTCGAAATTCTCAACATAAAACACAAAAACGGCATAGAGAGTACTATCCATGTATTTTGCGCTCCATCCATCTACAAAAATCCAGACCTTCGATGATCTGGAATCCAGAATTTGATGATCTGGATTAAGCTTTCTGCAGAATTCTCGAAAATGTTTGTTTCTGAGGAAGCGGAAAGGCACAGTCGAAGAACACATAGCTCTGAAAATGATAAGCGTGGTTCATTTTTAGAACGGGATACAACTCACATAGCCAGATCATCAATCGCATCATTTTTTCCAATTATTTGATGCCGTGGCTCTTGATCTTTGTGTACTATCTAAAATTAAGAATTTAACAAAAAATATATAATTTTCTGCTTACCGATCTTTCCATTTCTTCAACTTCTTTCTTGTGGTGACTGTTTAAGTGCTGATGCATCGTTGTGGTCGAAGAATGGAACTTTATGCTCCTTCCGCACAGTTTACAGGTCACAGTTTGTCCGTTATTTTGTTTTTCGAAGAATCGCCACGCTTTAGATTGATTTTGTGACGAATTCATATGCAATAAGCAAGAATGTCATAAATGAAACAGAAAAAAAAAAACAAAACACCCAAAAAAACAAGAAAAATACGGTTTTTCTGTGGAAAATTCGATGAAAAATGCCTGTTTTTCATGAAAAATACCCCGCTCACAGGCAGTTTCTAGGTCATCGGCCGTGTAGTCCTCTCGGACAATAAAGTCGACAAAAGTCGATTATTTCGTCTATTTTTCGTCGATTCTTGTCGATTTTGAGTCGATTCAAAATCGACAAAAATCGACTTTTGTCGATTTTCTGTCGACTTTTTGAATGTCGATTTTTGATCGAGTCGACGAAATCGACACCGATTTTGACGATTTTTGTCGATTTTTGTCGATTGTCAACAATCGACACAGCACTCTGGTATAAAAACAGACTCTGGTATAAAAACAAGAAAAAATAATCAGCAAAAAAATTTTATGGGACAAAATATCCAACAAAAATATTCCACAATTTCACACATTACAACACTTCTTCTTGACGTCTTCAGTCGATGGAACATTTGTCATAATGGTACCAAGGCCACCATATGGTACTGGCTTACTGTCGACACCATATTTGGTGGATACGGTTTTGTAGATGTCGGTTAGAAGATTACGAAGAGCCTCCTCGACGTTGGTACTGTCCAGAGCGGAGGTTTCTGAAACATTGGAAGATGCACGAGAAATGCGTCAAGGCACCGAATAGAGGTCAGAAGACTAAATATGCGTCAAAGATAGGATACAATTTTCGAGGGGTGATAATTGCGCAAGAAATGCGCAGAAGCACGAGAAATGCGCCAATGCACGAGAAACGCGTCAAGGCTCCAAAATGCACAAAAACACTAGAAAAGTGTCAATAAACTACTGTTTCGCCTGGAAAAAGTCAGTATGCAATTCTTGTTCCTTGGCGTACTTTTGGTGCGCTGACGCGTTTCTCGTCTATGGCGCATTTCGTGATACCAGTGGTTCGAAATGTGACTAAACGTCGGAAATAGGGACACTGAACATTTTAGTGCCTTGGCGCATTTTTAGTGTTTTGACGCGATTTCGGATACCTTTCAATGGCGATGTGCCAAGACACCAGAAATGCGCCAAGGCACTGAAAATGCTACAAAGTTTCACAATGCACAAAAACACTAGAAAAGTGTCAATAAACTACACTTTCGTCAGGAAAGATTGCAGTTTTCGTCCCTTGGCGCATTTTCAGTGCCTTGGCGCATTTTTAGTGCGTTAGTGCATTTTAAGCGTGCTGGCGCATTTTTAGTGCTAATTTTTTTTAAAAATTTCAAAAACCTCACCAATAAAGCTCATATGATTTCTGTCGGCATAAATAGCAGCCTCTTGAGTGGGGACAGCTCTCAGATGTCTCAAATCTGTCTTATTTCCAACCAACATAATACTGATATTAGACTCGTCCGCATGATTTCTCAACTCTTTCAACCATTGATCGATATTTTGAAATGTTTGATGTTTTGCGATATCATAGACGATCAGAATTCCAAGAGCTCCACGATAATAGGCTGGAGTGATTGCTCGGTATCTCTCTTGTCCAGCTGTGTCCCAAATTGTGGCTTTGATCTTTTTTCCCTCGATCTGAAACGAAATACATTGGAGATCAGGAAACGTGTCATGGCACGGAAGGTGCGCCAAGGCACGGAAAAAGCGCAAGGATTCCAAAAAGACGTCAGAAAAGAACTAGACTCAGAACGGTTACTTTCAGACCACAAAGACGTGAAAAATGCGGCAAGAAACTAGATACGCGTCAAGGCACGAGAAATGCGTCAGGGATGTTGATTATCGTCTCTTGGCGCCTTTCCCGTGCTAATTGACTTGAAACGCGTCAATGCACAAAAGTGCACCAAGGGGTGACTTGGCGCGTTTCTAGTATCTTGACGCGATTCTCGTGCCTTTGCGTATTTTTCGTGTTTTGGCGCATTTCCTGATCTGTGACGTGTTTTTTGGACTTCTCAACGCTCATACAAAAACGTGAGACTTCAGGAAATACAAAATTCAGAAAAGCGTCAAGGCACCGAAAACGCGTCAGGGAAGTTGATTATCGTCTTTTGGCGCCTTTTTCATGCTAATTAACCGCGTCAATGCACCAAAAGTGCGCCAAGGGGGTGACTTGGCGCGTTTTTAGTGATTTGACGCACTTCAAGTGCCTTGACACGTTTCTCAGTAATTTATGCATATTTAGTGCCATGACGCATATTTGGTGCTTGAGCGCATTTCTCGTGCCTCGACGCATTTTCAGTTGCTTGACCCATTTTTAGCGCCCTGACATATTTTTGACTAATTAACGCATATTCAGCGTCTCTACTCACTTTTACCACCTTAATACATATTTGGTGCCTTAGCGCATTTCTCGTGCCTTGACACATTTCCCGTTCCACTCACCATCATACTTCTCGTCGCAAATTCCACTCCAATCGTCGATTTGGTTTCCAAATCGAATGTATTTCTGGTGAATCTGGAGAGTAAATTGGATTTTCCAACTCCAGAATCGCCAACGAGGACTACTGTAACTTTGAAAATTTTTTTTTGGAATTTTCGGGCAAAAATTGTCAAAATATTGCTTTTCTTACCTTTAAACAAATAGTCATACTCCTCATCTCTGGGATTACTCATTTTCTATGGAATCTGAAAGTTTTAGAAAATTTTTAAAAAGGTTTTTTTTTTAATTTTGAGAAGAAAAAGTAAAATTTGTCGATTTTCGTCTTATCAAAAATGTGTATATATGTCAAAAAGGAGAGCGGTTAGTCAGCAGAAAAAGAGACGGAAAATGGTGTTATGAAATCACAATATATATATTTTCTTATCAGTGGAAATAGAATTTTATTTGCTCACAAAAATATCTTTTTGGGTGTGGGACTATTTCGAAATTTTCGGAAAATCATGAAAATTGACAAAAACGGAAGAATTATTAAGTTTGAAAAAATTCCAAAATTCAAAAATTCAGAAATTCAAAAATTTGAAAATTCAAAAATTCAGAAATTCAAATATTCAAATATTCGAAAATTCAAAAATTCAAAAGTTCAAAAATTCAGAAATTAAAAAATTCAAAAATTTTGAAATTCAAAAATTCAAAAATTCAAAATTTCAAAAATTCAAAAATTCGAAAGTTTAAAAATTCAAATATTCAAATATTCGAAAATTCAAAAGTTCAAAAATTCAGAAATTAAAAAATTCAAAAATTTTGAAATTGAAAAATTCAAAATTTCAAAAATTCAAAAATTCAAAAATTCAAAAGTTCAAAAATTCAAACATTCAAAAATTCAAAAGTTCAAAAATTCAAAAATTCGAAAGTTTAAAAATTCAAAAATTCGAAAGTTTAAAAATTCAAATATTCAAATATTCGAAAATTCAAAAGTTCAAAAATTCAAAAATTCAAAAGTTCAAAAATTCAAAAATTCAAAAATTCAGAAATTCAAAAATTCAAAATTTTGGAAATTCAAAAATTCAAAAAAATCTAAAAAAAAACATTTTTATTTTAATTGAAAGAACACATCGCATCTTCCTTCAAAGCCCAATTCAATTTCTCCAGAATTGCTGGAAATTGATTCCAATGTTCTCGAAATAAATTCATATTTTTCGAAATTATTTTTATAGATTCGATCGTTTTTCCAGAATATTGATATTCATTTTCACGGAGATGGTTGATAAAGAAAAAGCCGAAATTAAACGGAATATGAAACTCGGTGATGACAATGTTAAAGGTGGTGTGCGGTGAAAAATTGTACTGCTTTATTTTGTGCAGAATATCATGTAGATTCTCATAAAAACAAAGAAAAAATTCAAAAAAAAATTCATTCATTGAGAAAAACGGCATCGAAAAGTCAAAGTGAGAATCGGTGGACTAGCGGCCAGTTGTGAGTTTTCTAGGCCAACTGCCGGTAAAAGCGCGCGAAATTCGAATTTTTATTGATCTTCAGTGTTTTCTCTGATTTTTGTCAGGTTTTTTCATACACCTGAGAGGAAATTAACAAAAACATTTTGAAATCTTCAAAGGTGGGGGGACAGGAGATTTTACGGGGGATTTTTGGGGCCAGAGTATGCATTCTACCGTAACGGTGTACAACGCTTAATGTCACTCTGCGTACAGCTGTCGCCCTCGCCTTTATGTATGCAATCGGGCGTGCGCTTTCTCTTTGCCCGCGTGGCTCAGTCGGTAGCGGCGCCGCACCTTCAACACTCGCCTCGACAAGTTCAACTCCTCGAGGAGCATATTTGAACGGAATTTCGACAACATTATTTTTCTCATGTCCCCCCACCTTTAAAAAACATCTGAGAAAACACTGAAAATTAATAAAAATTCGAATTTCGCGCGCTTTTACCGGAAGTTGGCCTAGAAAACTCACACCTGGCCGCTAGTCCAGCGGTTCCCACTTTGACGCCGTTCTTCTCAATGAAGGATTTTTTCACCGCACACCACCATTAACAGACAACAAAAAATGACAACGAAAACAACGACAAAAAGTGAAAATAAGCAAACAATCAAGTGGATTTGGATTTTCTCTCAATAAAAATTCCCTCGCAATCGAATTTAATTTCGAAAAAATCCGTGGAGTATAGAATCGGATAGTGAAAAATGTCCGAACGAAAACCTTGAATTTTTGCGCCAAGTCGCTCAATATTCTTTTTCAATTGAAAATTGCTCCGTGAATCCACATCCAGATAGCAATATTCCAGTTTGGAGAATTGTAGAAGGTTCTGGAACTTTTTTTTTTTGCGTCGTGAAATCTGGCGCAAAGTACGCAAACACCGATTGTCTGCACACTTGGCACTATATTTGACGCGCAAAAAAGCTGAACAACGACACCTTGATAATTTTTGTAGCTTCTTTGACATGCAGAGAATGAACATTGAGTTCCATATTTGAGAAAAGCTTGTTTTTTGATTTCAGTGCGATTTTTTCGATAAATTCCGAAACCCAAGTTTGCGATCCGTAGATAGAGACCGTTCCGACAGTTTCAGCTCGATAAAATGGCAAAAGCCGCTTGTGATACTCCCAATTATCAGAATTCAAATGAAAATAGGCCACGTGGATTTTCAATTTCAGCGATTTCAATTTCAGCACTAATCTCTCCAAGAATCGCTTATCAAGATTCGAATTAAATTCAAATTCATGAAATTTGAGGTCAGGATAAGCGAGAATGCTTGTCAAATCACTAATTGCACGATTTCCATCCGTATATTCGATTTCTTCGTCATCGAATTTCACAATAATTGCATCAGATTTTGATTTAATTGAAATCTCTGTGAAGGTCGGAATCCAAGAGTCCGCTAGAGCGCGGAAGGACTTGCACACGTGGCGGAAGACGAATCTGAAAATTTTAAAATTTTTCGATCTCCAAAATGCTCGTTTTTTTGAATTTGAAATCGTTAAAAAATATATGAACATTCAAAATTTCTCAATGGAGCGCATTTACTGACCGATAGTCTTCTTGATAATCTTCTCCCAAATTTTCACAAATTTTCTGGAAAACATCCACTGGCATATCAGTAATTGTACGATATTTCGGGTCCTTGCTGAAAAATCGATAATTATACTGGACAAACCGACACACAGACAGACACCTTCTATCATAATCCAAATCGAAATTTCCCGCCGAAAATCGCTGAAACCAGAATTCAAACTCGATAAAATTGATTGAATCTAATTCCATTCTGTTACAAAAATTCTTGTAACACTCGAGAATCGGCAGTCCTGACCGAAATTAGTAGTAAATAATTTTGGG